TGCCCTTCTGCTTTTCCCTCTTCCTTCAGTTAGAATTTGAAGGGGTTCCAAAAAAAAAAAAAAAAAAGAAAAAAAAAAATCTCCGACAGCTCTCTTCTCAGGTGCCACGTGGCACTTTGCCACGTCAGCACCTGAGAGGGGCAAATGTTTGGGGTAAAATTACCCCAGCCATGTGGCCCAATGGCTGAGCGACACGTGGCATCTTGCCATTGGTCAGCAGGGCTCCAATCCCCTGCTGACACGTGTCCTAGGAACCTTAAATGGGGAACCAATGCTCCCCACTTTAAATAGTGGGAGAGTCCTCATTTATGGGGCATTCAATTCCTTTCAAAAGAATTCACTTACATTCAATTGGCATTCAATACCATCATAAATACATTTTATACAAAAACCGAGCAATCTTAATTGCGGAATTCTCCCATTACGCGAGAAGTAATTACTCTTTTACGCACTTTCTTCCTCCCGTACATCACTGACTTGATCGTCGGAGGCGGAGCTCCACCCAACCGGAGTCTTCGTGGTTTTGCAGGTACAGGCGGTCGAAGGGCATTCTTGGAATCGTAACTCTCCCGCTGGACACTTCGAAAAACCCCGAAACAGGCATGATCAAGCAATAACAATAAATCATGAATAATCAAGCAACATATGATTAATACAACAATCATCATCGTAACCATATCATCAAAACATCGTTAATAGTAAGATCCTAGGTGTGGTACTATATGGATTAATAACAACTCATAGCATGTCAAATATAATCAAAATCAAAGTGTTATCCTAAACATGATACTAGAAATCATAATCAACATCCTAAACATGATACTAGAAATCATAATCAACATGTTAAATATGATACTAGGAATTAAAATAACATTGTAAGCATGATTTTTACTCTAAAATTAAAGAATAATAATAAGGGTGATTGAATTACTCCCTTTGATGCCTCGACTTTCTTGCTATTATGTTAGTCAACTTCAAAAAAGTAAAATCAATAAAGTAAATAAATCAAATATAAATTGAAATATAGATTTGGGACCAAACCCTCAGAACTATCAACCTATCACGTCGAGGTCGAAGGCAACGTCGAGGATGGCTAAGAGTATTCGAATCTCACGAAGAACATATTGTGATTGATTCGGAAGAGTATCAAGTGTGTGTTTAGGCTAAGGCTAAGAACATGTGGATCAAGAAAGAGAATAGATGATTATGACAATTGTGATGATTGTTGATGGTTATTGTCCATGATCTGAAACGGGGAGCAACGATCTCTATTTGTAAGGAAAAAAAAAGAGTTGAAACAAAAAAAAGATCAGAATTTGAATTGAAATAAAATAGGTTTTATCACGGGTGATAGACCTATCGCGGTGCGTCAGGGTCCATCGCGGCGCGATTGAGCTGTCGTGGTGCGATGGTCCTGCACTTTTATGGTTTTTGTTTTTATAATACATTTTGATCCATAAATTGGAATAAGATAAATAATATATCGTTAGAAAGCTCTAGAAGTCTAATTTCCAACCCAATTGGAATCAAATTGATATCTTATGTAGAATTTGAGATATGATCGAAATAGTGGAACAGTGTCAGTTTGGATAGAGTTTAGTATTTTAATCATATCTTTTTCGTTTCTAATCGGAATTGGGATTATGATATATCATTGGAAAGATAATTTCAAGTTCTATACAACCCTAAGGCACGAAACTTAGAATGGCTCGGTTTACAATTACCCTAGATGTTTTGGGCTCGATTTAGTATTTTGGCCATAACTTATTCGTTTTAAGTCAAATTTGGGATTATAATATATCGTCGGAAAGCTCTTTTCAAGACCCAACCAACCAATCAATAATTGGACTGATATTATAGATCAAAATAATCTGGTTTGGAAATTTTTATGATTTGTACAAGAAATGAATGATTTTAAGGACACAAAATGAATGATTTTGGTTTAAAACTTTTTAGGAAAGGTTAGGGATATGGTCAAGGCTTAAGGAAACTTCACGAGACTCTTCGACTCTTTATCAAACTCGTTTTATCGAAGACGTGAAAGGCACTCATCACTAGGTTTGGTTTTTGGGGAGACACAATCAGGTGTCTACAGAAGCCCCCACTTTGATTGAGTTAGGAGAAACGTGAGTTTCGAATTCAAAAGTCAAAGTAAGTCGATAGGGACAGAGAATGATTCTAAACATTCTGCGATCTAAAACCATCCTTTTTAAAGTCGATACTTGTAGAAAGCGTCAGTTCTACAAATAAAGGATTTAAGGGGAAAGAAACGCGTATTCGGGTTTGCCGAGCACCCGTCCCTGGGTAACATCAAGTCAAAGTTTTTTTTGTTTGACAACCTCCACATTCTCAGGGAGCGCTGTCGAAAACAGCTACACTTCGAGCCCTCTTCTCAAATCAGGGGTGACAACCTCCATATTCTTAGGGAGCGCTGTCGAAGACCGTTACGCTTGTAGCAATCTTCTCAAATTAGGTGACAACCACCACATTCTCAAGGAGAGTTGTTGAAGACCACTTTTCTTTGATCCGTCTTTAAATTGTGTGACAACCTCCGCATTCTTAGGGAGCGCTGTCGAAGACCACTTCGCTTTGAGCCGTCTTCAAAATTTCTCGTCTTCACGCTTTGGAAGTGATAGTTTCTCACGCTTTGGAAAACCTATCGTAAAATCTTACTCTTTAAAATCTTACCGAGCTTAAATTGATATTAATAGAAATCTTTCTCTAATGGTTATATCTCGCCTGGAGAGTTATATCGGACCATCTTTGGAAATTGTGACCGTACTCGGGCCGATCACCAATCAAATGCAATTGTAATCGGGCCGATCACTTCTGAAACGCTTTCAATTAATATGTAATCAAGATGTGATCGTCATCAGGCCGATCATCAATTAAATGCGATCGTAATGAGGCTAATCTCTTATAAAAGGTGATCGTAATTGGGCCGATCATCAATCAAATGTGATCGTAATCGGGCCGACCATCAATCAAATCAATATCTTTGGTAAACTGATCAAGAATAACATGTTTATCAATTGCTCATCACGAGGCTCCAAGAAAACTTAATTGCTCATCACAAGGCTCGAGTGAGATGATCATCATATGATAGATCGTTTTATGGCCATGTTAGATTTCATCCTGGGGGACAGCTTTGTCGCAACGCGTTAAATTTGTCGCGCCACCTTCGATATTGTTGCGCTGTGTTGGGATCAGAGCTTATAAACTCTTTCTTTTTGCTGCTGCTGCTCGCGCTTTCTCACTTTGTGTTTGCTCAATTCTTCATCAAACCTTCTGTAAAGGTTCCTCGTCTGCTAGGGACTTAGTGTACCTGCATCTATGTTTTGGACTATAGGACTTTGCTCATGTTTGCTTAAGGTTGACCCAAGACTTGGTGTACTTGACTCATTATGTGACTCAATATACTTTATTCCAATCGATGTGATGTGGTGAAATGACATGACTTAATGTGATGGCTCGTGTATGCATACTCAGCTTGATGTGGCGACATGACTCAATGTGCATGACCCGTGTGTGCATTGCGTGGTGATTGTGCTCGTGCAACTCGAAAATGCAGAAAAGCAAAACATTTCCGTCATTTTTGTGGAGGGTACCGACTTTCTCCCGAAAAGAAAGACGTGAGGATGAAAATAGGTAAAGTGTCGGTGTAAAACGAGAATTTTGAACTTCCCCAAAAAGAAAGATGAAAAGAATGAATTGAGTGATGCTGAATGTTGAATGAGGTTAATGGAGTGCATGCATTAATGTTGTATCTCATGGTGTAAGGATTGTAGCATCCTAGACTATCTCAACTGATTGATCTAATAATGAAAGTGTTTTGGTAACTTAGGCGCAGAGGCTAAGTACCTCAAACTTTGTGATGCAATGATGATTATGATAATGAATGATTTGAAAATGACAAGGCATGCTTTAAAGTTGTATCAGGATTTTATGACAAAGAGTTTTTAAGGGAAGGATTATTTGGCTATGTGTTAGTGACGTGTGTGAGAGTGACACTAAGGTTAGGCTGTAAAGGCTAAGGGTGTGGAAAAATATATTGAGAAGAGTCAAATGATGGTAACTCTCAGACTTGGTAGGCTAATGAAGTAGGGATCAAGCTCCCAAGTCTAGCTCTAAACGGATAGGGATGATCATTGTAGATCCCTTAATATGATCATGCATGGATGTGAATATGAATGAGTGCATTTTTATTACGGTCGCACCCCAATGCGAGGTTGTCTACGTATCCGTTAGGAATTAGGCCGAACGTAGCTCTAGCCGAACCTCGCACAAGTGTGTACACCTCAAAGAGGTCTTTCAAGGGTTGTATCGGGGTTAGGTTAAAGGTTGAAGAAGAAAGGATAAAGGCTCAAGACCCAAAATAAGTCCCCAAGGTGTGCAACCTTGCATTTGAATGCTTGAGGTTTCTCACTTTTGAACTTATTTTCTTTGTTTTGCATTTGAGATCTCTTTTTGAATCTTCTTTGGATAAGTGCGGGCAATCCCAATCATGCGATCTATCACTCACTTGGCATTCATGTTTCTCAGGCACGGTACCAAGCACTCGATAAGATACGCAATATGAGATGTGTTCATATCAAAGACATTGGAACACTTGCCCTTTTGCATACTTTATTGCTTATAGAACTTTTGGAATTTTTGAACTTTGGTAAAATCACTCAATCTTTTGTACTTGGCTTTTTAAATTGCATAAGTTGCACACCATCCCATCCCAAGGTTAGGTAGATGTAGATGTAGGTTGGAAAAATGAAGGTTTATCATTAGATGAGGCTCAAAGTGGTTTATCAAGAAAGGATTTGTGTATTTGAAAGGGAAAAGGTGATATGACATGGCTACAAGGGGTGCCTTAAATCATTAGTATACCTTGTGATTAGCTTAGCGTGGATATTTTTTAATGCAATGATCATGTGAAAGGAAATAATTGCTCATTTTATTGAAATGGAAAGGGTAGGTAAACACATAAGGAGAAATGTCTTGGGGATGTCTATGCTAGACTTATTGGGGAACGGGAAAACAAGAAATAAAGAAAATTCATGAAAATCCTAAAAAATTGAAGTGTCTTGTTAATCACATGACTAGAACTCGATTAAACATGCATTGATAAGGAAAGAGCATAGTGTATGAGGTGAATGATATGTATGGGGAAAGCATGTAGGAGGAAAGTATGCAGAAAGGTATATGTGTATAGGGAAAATATGTGAATGTGGAAAGTGTTTAAGAAGGAAAGTATGAGGTATGTAGTGTATGGAAAGTGATGTAAAGGAAAACTACTACATTTTTTATCAAATGCAACGATAAAAAATAAGCTTATGTGACGACCTTTTTTTTTTTTTTTTTTTTTTTTTCACCGTTGTATTAGATAAGCCTAATGCAACGGCTTGTATTTCTATACTCCAAAAAGTAGGGCTAATGCGACGGTTGTAATCAACCTTTGCATCTGATGTGCTAATACAACGGCTGGATGGGCTAAGCAACGACAATGATTTTGAATATAAAAAGCGCCTAAATTTTTTTGATTCCTGCTTATTGTTTTCCAAAATTTAAAACCTTTCACATCCTAGTTTAATTTAATAAAAAAAAAATTAAATATAGAAAAAGAAAAGTTGAAGAGTACACGGGAAGAAAAATAAACCAAACAAAATCCTTTCTTTTCTAACCTCATGCTGCTCCAATAAAGAGAAATAGTTTAGGAAGTGTGGGTAAATTAATCAAATGCAGGCTTCATAAATTGCTTCATAAATTATTCCCACCCAATTGCTTCTCCAATTTTCACAAATGAACTTAATTTCAATTGGAAGGCAGGACATGGCAAGGGTTCGCTTAGGCTACGATGAACGGCGGTGCTTAGGCAACGACGAACGGTTGCACTCATGCCTTGGTAAACGACAATTCTCATCAAGCGAGAATGTAAGTTAATTCCTTTAATTTGTATTCTTCTGAATTATGTAATTAGGGTCCTAAATTTCCATTCGTCCCTCAATTTATGTAATTAGGGTTTTTAAATTTCTCACACCTTTATTGAATTTGCCTATAACAATGACAATATGTTCTTTAATTTTCTGTTTTCTCTTTATTTTGCAAACTTCATATGTAAAACATGTTCTACCCAAATTAAAAGCGTGTTTTCCTCGCCGGCAACAATGATTTTGCCTTATGGCTTTCATCGGTGTTCTCTCGGTATGGCTCGACGGGTGTGAGTTTAAGGATGGGTGGAAAGAGTATGTGCAGTGTTATAAGAGAAAAGGTTGGCATGTTGGTGATGGATTTTAATTTATGCATTAGGAATGAAGAAGATGTGCTAATTGAATAAAAGTTAAGTTTATTATTGTTAGGGAACCGAGTATAAGGGTTCAATTTATGATGCTACTCTTGCTTTTGAATCTTATGGAGTTTGTCATGGATCTGGTATGATTTTTATGTTTTTTCACTTTATTTTTATGATTTTATGTTTTTCTTGTAATTTATATATTGGTCTAATGATTTGAACATTTTGGTTGTTTATATCTAGTTGCTAAAATTGTAGTGTTGTCGAATCTAAGAAATTAATGTAATGTGGGTTCATTTCAATTCATCATTTGGCAAAGGCGGCTTGTTTATGATGTGTAATCATGCAATGATAGTAATTATGATGTGTAGTTGTTGTTGATAGTTAATGCTGCCTATTGTTATGTTATTGCTTGCTCAGATGTTGCTGCTGCTATATACTAGGGTGGTAGTTCTTAAAATATATTGTTGTTGAGTTGAGACCTTGTTATTGTTGTACATACGCTGCATTTACTAATGAATTATGATGTCTAGTCGCTGCTAATTGCTGTCATTACCATGCTAAATGTTGTTGTTGTTAATTTGTCCTTGCCTCTGCCCATGGCAACCCACAGGGCAGGGGGTTTAGTGGCATTAGTGTGATCATGTTTCTTATATCTGAGTGTGTTTGCATTTGAGTAATTCCATGTTTAAACAAATACTATTAGCAGGCATACTTACTAATATGGTTAATATTTTATGTTATGTTCTATTTAACTGACATTTGACCAAAACTTTACTTAGTGAAATGACTATTGGTTTTATTTGATGATTCAAACCTTAGCTTGTTTGTGTCTTAGTAGTTTAATTACATAGTAGTTTAAATTTTCTTTTCATTGTAGGTAGTTTTGTTAGTACTCAAGCTAGTTTCTTTATATATATATAAAGAATTAGCTCACAAGTTGTTTAAGTGTATATACTTATGTGAGCAATTAAATCCTTTGGCTCCATATCATTTAGATTTTTCTCTACATTCAAAGGTAAATAGATTGTTAAGAATAATGAGATATGGAGTAGTCATTAATCTGCCATTATATTTTCACTGTTGGTTTGAATTAAAGAAAACAAAAGGTAAGTGGCCTGGCCTGGTCATTAATTTGCCATTTGATTTTCAGATTAATGATTGTGAAATTGCAAAATGAAGTAGTATATACTCCATATATGGTACTTAATAGTATACTTTGAGCAAGTAGTTTAGCTACTTGTTTGTTATAAGTGTAAGATTATTATCCTTGAAAGTTTGAATTAATAAGATGAAGCTAAGGAAATTAGGTTGGCAGTAACTTAACCTTGCTGTCACACATGATTAGAAGTCCAGATCCATATGGCACCAATTCAATTAAGCTCTAAATGTTTAGAATCATCTCTATTTGTGTTTTGCAATTGGCCTAACTATTTTAAATGTGATCGTTTGTGTGCTAGCTTACCAATATACTTAGTGTTAGGGGACATGTCTCATGTAAACATGTACCATTATATGTGTTGTATGATATAATATGCTTGTTGATGTGTTCATTGTTTGATATGTTGGTAAGCTATCACTCCTTTCCATTCTTTTTTGTTTGATTTTTTAATTTTTGGTGGTTGAAGCTTTCTTTTGCATTTTTCTTTTATATTGTAGCATCTATTATCTAAATTACTTTAAGAACAAAAACAGTTATGTTTGATCGAACTAGTTACTTAGGTCCAATCTGACTTTAAAGCCCTATCAGCAACTAACTGGTCCCTTTATTGCTTATTCCATTAACCATTTTGATTTGATTTATATAAAAGCATTACAAGAACCTGTATTGCTTGGTGATGAGTTCTTGCTTAGTTTTTACACTCGATATGAAACTAAATTTTCCTCTACTAAATCTCTATCTTGTAATTATACTAGAATCTAATTGATTTTTTTCTTTTCTTGAATATCTCTACTTAGCTTAATAGTTTTAGGTAATTTTTAAGGTGTATTAGTATTATCCTCGGATTTTCCTTATACGAAGTAAGGGTATTTTTAGTTGTAGTGCCATGTTATTGGTTTAAACCGCTGTTGTGAAATTGTTATGTTGTTTAGGTGCTGCTTGCTGCTATTCCTTTTACCTTGTATATTGATGTTGTTGTTTCTGCTATATAATCTGCTACTGCATCTGCTCTATAATGTTGCTACTGCCTTTTGCCTCTGCTTTATAATGTTGTTACTGCCCTTGCTTAAATGTTGCTGACTTGCTGCATGCAGACGATGACAACTCTCTCTTCGGCTACAAAACATCTCTCTCTAGCTTCAAGATAGATTTTGGTTTTTGCCATATATGTTGTAGCAGCCAAACAAATGTTGAAAATATTGTATTTGAGAAACATGATTTAGCTTTGATAAGTTTTTTTTCCTTAGTTATTTTATTAAGTGATATTTGATTTTGTAACTTTCATTAAGGGAAATAATGTACAAACCTCCAATTTATATTAATGAAATTGTGATTTAATAACAACAACAACAACAACAACAACAACAATAATAATATAGTGCCATTGCATTAGACCATTTGACTGTCGCATTAGGCTTAATGCTACCGTTGCATTAGACCACTGAACCGTTGTATTAGCTAAGTAGCTAATGTGACGGGTACATAGAGTCGTTGCATTAGACCACTTAATCGTCGCATTAGGTCTAATGCTACGCCGGCGGATATGATGGTACTAAGTCGTCGCATTAGAGCTAATGCAACGGTTAAAGGGTCCTATGACAACGATTTTGTGCGTTGCATTGGATTTAAAATGTAGTAGTGGGAAAGAGTATATTTGTGAAAAGATATGAGAACATTCGGGAATAGAATGGACCCTCAACTCAAATGACGGAAAGGACGACTCATGTATGGACCTAAGACATGGTCATGGTGTGGAAAAAGTATGTACAAAGTGATATGTTTGAGACTCGTGTCATGAACATGCGACTAGACATGATAACGGTGTGAAAAAACGAAGGACTCAAGGACCAAAGAGCCTGAAGAATAAAAGATAGACAAACTAACTTGATTAATTTTGGCCAATTTTAATGTTTTTGCTATTTACTAGGTGAAAGCAATCCATTGGAAAACGTTAGTCATAATTAAGAGAAAATCAACCACAACCAAAGACAAAGAATACATGTTAAGGTTAGCACAATAATCATAAAAGACTAGGAAGATGGAGTAAAATTCTACAATAGGTAGACTCATGGTTTGACCAAGACATGAAGGATAAAAATAAAATGGATAAAAATAAAATGGATAGGAAATGAGAAATAAAATAAATGAGAAGATAGAATTTAAAAATAAATAAATAAATAAATAAATAAAGATAAAAAGATAAAAATCTAAAAAAAGACTAGAGTGGGACTCTAAAGGGTGGAAAAAAGATAATAGAAAGATATGAATATGGAATGAAGGAGAACTCTTAAGATAGACAATTAGAATAGGAGTAAAATTCTTAAATTTTATCTTTTAAGAGTTAGTTTGACACGGAATAGGTTTCTAAGAGAGTTAAGACTCATAAGATAAAAATAAGATAAAATATAAAATCCTATCTTAAGAGAGTATGACAAGAACTAGAATCCTAAATCTAGTGGAAGATGGGTTATGACTCAAATATAGACGAGATTGAAACAAAAAAATAAAAAAAGTTATCTTCCAGCACTAAAGATAGAATTCCTAAACTGAACAAGCTGCAGTATTTCGATCATACCTTTTTATCTGTGACTCTGAATTGGACAAAACCAATTTCAAATGAAAGATAAAATCTGGGGCTACAGATCCATAGGTGGCACAACACGTAACTCTTTCTAGATCTCCGGCTATGACCAAAACAAAGTGACGCTTGTATAGTATACAGGAATAAAAAATATGGGTTGACTCAAAATAAATACATAAAAGGAACTAGGACTCGACTTAAAAAAAAAAGAAGAGGGTTAAATAAGAGAAAAAAAGAAATAAGAAAGCCAATAAAAATATGCACACATAAGCACATTGTCACGCATGATGCATTGAGTTTGTCACTTAACCATGGCTCTAGTTCTCTAAGGTCAAGGATTATGGTGTCCACGAGGGTCCATGGTTAAGATTCCAAATGCATCGCGGGGAAGCCTTACCTTAGAAAGGTTGGCACGATGAACAGGACCCCGTGAGTTAAACTTTACTCCATGGTTTGGTGAATTCAACACACTCGGATGCACCCATTATTGCACGGAGCGTTTATTAGCACTAGGCGAAAAAACGAATTCCCCACCGGTTCAAACCCCCCATTTCGCACCGGTTTTGAACCAGGCCGGATTTGGGGGGTGCTAAAACCCCATAGATTTCGCGCCGGTTCTTGGGGAAAACCAGTGGCAAAAAGTGAACTTTTCGCACCGGTTTTTACTTAGAACCGGTGCCAAAAGTCTTGCGCGCCTTGAATATTAAATACTTTTAGCACCGGTTCTAAGAAAAAACAGGTGCGAAAACCCCTTTTTTCTTAAAAAAATTTTTTGGCTATAAATAATTATATTAATAATAATAAAAACCTGCACATCCTGCATTAATTCTACCATCAATATATATTATAATAACAACAACAACAACAACAACAACAACAATAATAATAATAATAATAATAATAATAATAATAATAATAATAATAGTAATTGTAATAATTATTATTATTATTATATTATTAATAATACTAATAAATAATAATATAATAATTTCTAAATTGAAATAATAATAACAATACATAGATATTAATTAATAATCCCAAATGCAATACAATGAAGTGTCATATAGCTTTTACAATTCCTTATAAAAAAAAGTGTCATATTTACAAACAATACTAATTATTAATGTAGTTAACAAGTTCAAAGTAAATTATATGTGATGAAAGGCGCCAACATGTCTCGAACTTCATTCAGTTCCTTGATCGTCAATAAACCTCCTTCTTGTACCTTGCAAAACTTGGATAAACAAAAATTATTTTGGAATTAATTACTTAAGTTATGTACGTAAAAATACATTTACAATTTAAGTTAGGCAAAAATTTAATACGTAGGCCTATATGACTACTACTTCACCTATTTTCTATATTTCTTGTCAAATCAACTCATTCTTTCTCATAGCATGTCAATATTAATTAGTTATAGGCGGCTAAGGGTTGAAATCACATTAAAAGAGCAATTGAAGGGTTGTAGGACGCAATTTGATCCAAAATGGCACAAATAAGCCCTATATGACAACGACTTTGCCTATTTTTGTACATTTCTTATCAAATCAACTCATTCTTTCTTTTAACATGTAATTATTAAATAGTTATAGGCGGCTAAGGCTCGAAATCACATTAAAAGAGCAGTTCAAGTGTTTTAGTACGCATTTTCATCCAAAATGGCCCAAATAAGGCCTATATGACTATTATGATGCCTATTTTCTACATTTCTTATCAAATCAACTCATTCTTGCTCTTAACATGTCATGATTACCTACTTATAGGTGGCTAAGGGTTGAAATCACATTGAAAGAGCAATCACAGTGTTTTAGGATGCAATTTCATCCAAAATGGCCCAAATAAGGCCTATATGGATACTAGGATGCCTATTTTCTACATTTCTTATTAAACCAGATCATTCTTGATCTTAACATGTCATTATTACGTAGTTAGAGGTGGCTAAGGCTTGAAATCACATTAAAAGAGCAAATCAAGGGCTTTAAAACACATTTTCATCCAAAATGGCCCAAATAAGGCCTATATGACTACTTGGATGCCTATTTTCTACATTTCTTATCAAATCAACTCATTCTTTCTCTTAACATGTCATTATTACCTAATTAGAGAAGGCTAAGGCTTTAAGTCACATTAAGAGAGCAATTCAAGGGTTTTAGAACGCAATTTCATTCAAAATGAACCAAATAAGGCCTATATGGATACTAGATTGCCTATTTTCTACATTTCCTGTCAAATAAACTCATTCTTGCAGTTAGCATGTCATTATTACCTAATTATAGGTGACTAAGGCTTGAATATCAAAGTAAAAGAGCAATTCAAGGGTTTTAAGACGCAATTTAATTCAAAATACCAAATAAGGCCTACATGACTACTAGGATGCCTATTTTCTACATATCGTGTCAAATCAACTCATTCTTGCTCTTAACGTGTCATTATTACCTAGTTATAGGTGGATAAGCCTTGAAATCACATTAGAAGAGCAATTCAAGTGTTTTAGGACGCAATTTCATCTAAAATGGCAAAAATAAGGCCTATATGGATACTAGGTTGCCTATTTTCTACATTCTTATCAAATCAACTCATTCTTGTCGTTAACATGTCATTATTACCTTTTTATAGTCGGCTAAGGCTTGAAATGACAGTGAAAGAGCAATTCAAGGGTTTTAAGACGCAATTTCATTCAAAATCCCAAATAAGGCCTACATGACTACTAGGATGCCTATTTTCTACATTTCTTGTCAAATCAACTCATTATTGCTCTTAACATGTCATTACTAGCTAGTTATAGGTGGCTAAGCCTTGAAATCATATTAGAAGAGCAATTCAAGTGTTTTAGGACGCAATTTCATCCAAAATGGCCAAAATAAGGCTTATATGGATACTAGGTTGCCTATATTCTACATTTCTTATCAAATCAACTCATTCTTGCTGTTAACATGTCATTATTACATAGTTATATGCGGCTATGGCTTGAAATCACATTATAAGAGCAATTCAAGTGTTTTAGGACGCAATTTCATCCAAAATATCCAAAATAAGGCCTATATGGATACTAGGTTGCCTATTTTCTACCTTTCTTATCAAATCAACTCATTCTTGCTGTTAACATGTCATTATTACTAAGTTATAGGCAGCTAAGCCTTAAAATCACATTAGAAGAGCAATTCAAGTGTTTTAGGACGGAATTTCATCCAAAATGGCCAAAGGAAGGCCTATATAGATACTAGGTTGCCAATTTTATTCATTTCCTGTCAAATCAACTCATTCTTGCTGTTAAGTTGTCATCATTACCTAGTTATAGGCGGCTAAACCTTAAAATCTCATTAAAAGAGCAATTCAAGTGTTTTAGGACGCAATTTCATCCAAACTGACCAATATAAGGCCTATATAGATACTAGGTTGCCTATTTTCTACATTTCTTATCAAATCAACTCATTCTTACTGTTAACATGTCATTGTTACCTAATTATAGGCGGCTAAGCCTTGAAATAACATTAGAAGAGCAATTCAAGTGTTTTAGGACACAATTTCATTTAAAATGGCCAAAATAAGGGCTATATGGATACTAGGTTGCCTATTTTCTACATTTCTTGTCAAATCAACTCATTCTTGCTGTTAACATGTCCTTATTACCTAGTTATAGGCGGCTAAGGCTTGAAATCACATTAGAAGAGCAATTCAAGTGTTTTAGGATGCAATTTCATCCAAAATGGCCAAAATAAAGCCTATATGGATACTAGGTTGCCTATTTTTTACATTTCTTATCAAATCAACTTATTCTTGCTCTTAACATGTCATTATTACCTAGTTATAGGCGGCTAAGGATTGAAATCACAGTAAAAGAGCAAATCAACGGTTTTAAGACGCAATTTCATTCAAAATCGCAAATAAGGCCTACATGACTAATAGGATGCCTATTTTCTACATTTCTAGTCAAATCAACTCATTCTTGCTCTTAACATGTCATTATTATCTAGTTATAGGCGGATAAGCCTTGAAATCACTTTAGAAGAGCAATTCAAGTGTTTTAGGACACAATTTCATCCAAAATGGCCAAAACAAGGCCTATATGGATACTAGGTTGCCTATTTTCTAAATTTCTTATCAAATCAACTCATTATTGCTTTTAACATGTCATTATTACCTAGTTATAGGCGGATAAGCCTTAAAATCACATTAGAAAAGCAATTCAAGTGTTTTAGGACGCAATTTTATCAAAAATGGCCAAAAAAGGCCTATATAGATACTAGGTTGCCTATTTTATTCATTTCTTGTAAAATCAACTCATTCTTGCTGTTAACATGTCATTATTACCTAGTTATAGGCGGCTAAGCCTTAAAATCACATTAGAAGAGCAATTCAAGTGTTTTAGGACGGAATTTCATCCAAAATGGCCAAAATAAGGCCTATATAGATACTAGGTTGCCTATTTTATTCATTTATTGTCAAATCAACTCGTTCTTGCTTTTAACATGTCATTATTACTTAGTTATGCGCCTAAGCCTTGAAATCACATTAGAAGAGCAATTCAAGTGTTCTAGAACGCAATTCCATCCAAAATTGCCAAAATAAGGCCTATATGGATACTAGATTTTCTACATTTCTTATCAAATCAACTCATTCTTGCTGTTAGCATGTCATTTTTACCTAGTTATAGGCGAATAAGCCTTGAAATAACATTAGAAGAGCAATTCAAGTGTTTTAGGACGCAATTTCATTCAAAATGGCCAAAATAAGGCCTATATGGATACTAGGTTTCCTATTTTCTACATTTCTTATCAAATCAACTCATTCTTGCTGTTAACATGTCCTTATTACCTAGTTTTAGGCGGCTAAAGCTTGAAATCACATTAGAAGAGCAATTCAAGTGTTTTAGGATGCAATTTCATCTAAAATGGCCAAAATAAGGCCTATATGGATTAGGTTGCGAATTTTCAACATTTCTTATGAAATCAACTCATTCTTGCTCTTAACATGTCATTATTACCTAGTTATAGGTTGCTAAGTCTTGAAATCACATTAGAAGAGCAATTCAAGTGTTTTAGGACGCAATTTCATCCAAAATGGCCAAAATAAGGCCTATATGAATACTAGGTTGCCTATTTTCTACATTTCTTATCAAGTGAACTCATTCTTGCTGTTAACATGTCATTATTACCTTGTTATAGGCGGCTAAGGTTTGAAATCACATTAGAAGAGCAATTCAAGTGTTTTAGGATGCTATTTCATCCAAAATGGCCAAAATAAGGCCTATATAGATACTAGGTTGCCTATTTTCTACATTTCTTATCAAATCAACTCATTCTTGCGCTTAACATGTCATTATTACCTAGTTATAGGCGGCTAAGGCTTGAAATCACATTAGAATAGCAATTCAAGTGTTTTAGGACGCAATTTCATCCAAAATAGCCAAAATAAGGCCTATATGGATACTAGGTTGCTTATTTTCTACATTTCTTATTAAATCACACGAAAAGAGCAAATTAACTAAGTCAATGGCATACCTCATCAAGCTGTAGTGTGTCTGTACAACGACTTAGTATATATGTCGAACATGAATCTTATCACGTATAGTCCACAATCAACTCCGTTATCTTGTTGTGCGCACTAGCACAGGAACAAAGTACATGAATCAAACATGCGTAGCAAATTAGCAACATCTTACGCATTGTTTATTAAGAAAATCACAATGTCATGTAGCATTACCATCGGTGATTTCCATGTTGTACCTTGAGGAGCTCGACAATTTATCTTCTTCATAACACTGTAGAAAAGTAAGTTCAAACTTGATTAGTATGACTAATAAATGAGTTAGGTAATGATTATCAACACTAGGTAGCTTTATTTACTTTCAGCAGTACAGACTTCACGAGGAGCTTTTTTGGATGAGGCAATCGAGCTGAATCAAAAAGGAAGATTGTGTTACTGGAAACATAAATCACCAGCAGGGTCCAATGTGAACTACATAAATTCACAATACACAAACAAATCAATAATTAGTCGTGTACAACATATAATTAGGGGAAAAAAATGAATTTGAAATGGTCAGACGTACTCCTCAAAACATGAAGCGAATATGAACTTGTCTCCCGCACGCACTGATTCCTTGATACCCCGTTTAACATAGTACAACACGTCAGGGTAGTTGTCTAAGATTCTAGTAGTGGAGATCTGCTCGGGGCATAACCACCCTACTTGATACGGAGAATCAATCTCAAGTAAGTGCTCCTGTAGTGCTCTGCATGCATGATAATAGAATATTAATGGAAAAATAAACGACAATCACCACTAATCTGAATAACATAATTTAAGCGACGTTGAATTACCTCATGAATGTTTGAATGAGGGAAATGTTAAGCATTGGACCAGTTAGAAATTCCTTCACATCTTCTTTGCTAAGCCATGCAACTGCATCCTCATCAAAGTGGAACATTGCCATAGGTAGTGCAACTTGAATGGGAGTGTCACTAGGCAACATACTAACACGGTTGTGTAGAAAAGTTAAATATTTAGAGAGAGTTTGAAGGACCGTGTCAGCAAGAAGTGGAGTAGTTAGCATAGCTGAACCTCTCGAAAAGTTCTTCTTCGACCCTATTTCACTCTCCGATCGTTGTTCACTCTTCTTCTTTGGCACCGGTTGATCAATGCTTTCAGGCTGCTCCACCCTCCTATTTGAAGGTTGGCTTTTTTTCAAAATCTGATAAAACAAATCACGCAATTGGTTAAAAAAGACATCCATCTAACTCTTGTGAAGACAACCGGGCATAGGGTAAAGAGTGAACCCAAAATCTTAATTACCTGGTTCATCAACCTTACCCAAGCACATGACCACTGCACAAAGCTACCTTTTGCTGCCCAAAGTGTAGTAAACTCATCCTCCTCTACGGGCACCTGTATTAGGATGTCCTCGAACCCGACAATCACAGAATTGATCCCGACCGAGTAATGTTGTGGCCTAAGCGGCCGCAAATGGTTTGTACCTTGTTCGGCCGGTTGTGCACTACCATATGCAACCACATGCAAAGCTCCAGATTCACCTGGGTGTAGAAGTGCACAATGGGTCTCTTCCTACACCAATTTGAAAAATCACTTATTAGAACCAAACATATCACAAGGGGTCGTTTCCTACACAATTTCATTCAATGTACCCATATTCACTAAGCTAGAACTAAACAAAATCACCTGTAAATCTGGAAAATGATGGGGTGCTGGATTATCGAGCTCCCTCGAGTCCGCATGTGTAGGAGTACCACCATGCAACAGGAAATTAATTAATGCCACCTTAGATCCCACGTAACTCAATATGTCAAAACTAATAGATTTGAAACTACCTCATGTATATCATCCTCTCCATGTATTTCATCTTCTCCTTGTCCTTTTGGGTGACTACATGAGTCGACTGGTGTAGCCGAGGGGAACGACAGGCTCGGTAAGTTCACCTACGAGCTCGTTGCGCACTTGTTCCTTAATTGATGCCACCGTGGAAACCAAGTCATGAGGTGAGTTAACACTTGCTCGGGATCTTCCTAATTTAGTATATTCTGGACCCATCACCTTTTCCCATCCGAGCAATCTCCCTCCCGCACCTAATACCCGTCCTGGATGGTAGGGCTTTCCCAAAGCCAAGGTGAAAGGGTCTTTTTCTACACTTGGGACGAGCTTGCCTTCAACCAGTTCTTCAGTGTGTTCAATCTGTAGCAAAAAAAAGGCAACATGAAACCAACAGAACAAGACAGCTAAACGCAACAGAACAGAAACCAACAGCATCCAAACCAACACACAGCTTTGTTGGGTTTCGTAGTGACCCTCACTACGCATAAAGAAACCCGCCAAGACCCGCCCCCATAATAAATGCAATTAATCAAGCAAAACATAATTAAACACAAGAAAAAAGATTATACCTTTGACGCGTGCTTCGCTCAACAATGAGCTCTTACTTGAACCCCGAAAATACGAGGTCTCCAACGGGATCGTACCCTCGAACCCGACCCAAGCGTCCTAAGTCTCGAAGGTTAGTCGAGACCCGGACAAATAAAACTATGAGTTTTACGAATCAAGGTTTACTCAAATCAAGAGTTGCCTTTTAATTCCACTCAAGGTTGTGTCTTTCTCAATACCCATGCCTTTGGTATTTATAGGGAAAGGCACCCTTGATTTCCAATCTCCCATCAATGTGGGAGAGTTGGTAAATTCAACAATTTATTAAATTCCAAATTAAATAAATAATTAAATCAATCACAATGCAACAAGTGTTAAGGGGAGAGAGAGAGTTAGGTGAGGACCAAAAGCTTGGGGGGGGGACCATTGCCTTGATCCCCAAGCCATTGCTCCAAGCAATGGTCCCCTCATCCAAAACCGCCTCAAGCAAGGGCTGCTGGGCTGGCAGCCAGCTAGCACCATCCCAGCCAGCAGCCTCGCATCCCAGCCAGCATATGCGTGTTGGCGCAGAGTGATGCTTGTGCTGCTGGTGCGTGCTAGTGCTAGGCGCTGCTAGCTGCTGGCGCTAGCCCTTGCCTCTCTCGCCATTGCACACGCACTACCCCTTTCGCACTTCCCAGCATGCGTGCTGCTAGCGAGCCACGCATGTTGGGCATCGCCTCGCCAGCCACACACACAAGCATGCAAAGCTTGGTGCTGTGATGCTGCGATGGCTTGCGATGGCCCCTACGCATAAGCACACGCACATGCACACAAGGCCCAGCATGGTGCTGTTGTGTGAGGCTGCTGCTGCGATGGTGCCTAGGCACACACACACGCACAAAGGTGTTGTGCTTGGTGCGTGGCCCTGCGATGGTGCAAGGCACACTATGGCCTCCGATAGTGCGAGGCATGCACACACACACACATGCGTCAGTGCCCAGCATTGCGATGGCTTTGCTTGGTGCGTATGGCCTGCGATGGTGCCTAGCACCCAGGCATGCATGCTGCGATGCAGTGCCATGCGAAGGCACGCATATGCGCAGCCATGTTGCTGCGATGGTGCCTAGGCTTGCGCCTAGCACGCATGGCGCGCCTAGCACACCATGGTGTGCCTAGCACACACATGGTGCATCTAGGCTTGCGATGAGCTAGCCTAGCCTAGCTACGACTATGCTCGTACTTGTTGCTTGTGATTTTGCGACGCTCGGTCTCGACGCCCTAGGCTCGATATCCGACGTCTATATTCGTAAAACTCCGTCGACTCATTAAATCCTTCGGATTAATTCGTCGTCTCGGATCGGTTGTTCGATTAGGTTCGACCCGAAGGGTTCAGTTAAAGATTAAGCTGTAATATTAATTGTACCTTAATATTACTGATCGAAAGCGGCCTCCACCTAGGCATTCCGATCACTTGACCTTACTGAAGAATTAGCTCTGTAATAATTTTGAACCCTCTATCAGAATAATACACTTGTTGGAAGGACACCATTCCTTTCAATCTCCCACTTGTCCTTCCGGACAAGTGTGCAATTAGTGTATGGCCCATTTCCTATGTCGCTTAATTTCTCTTCATGAACTATAAGGTAAGATTCTTCGTCATCCTTATTACGTTCAGAAGTGTTTCTCGATCTCCGAGTTCGACTGCCAATAAGCAGATGATTTCTAAAATCCATCTGAGCACGGCCATGCATTTTCACAGTCTCGCTCATCGAGCGGCCTTGTAAACAACAAAGACATATTCCCTATTGTTAATAGGGGGACATTCTTAGTCTTGCATTGTAAGTTTCTCTTACTAAGAGGACCTAATCTCCCGAGTGTTCCCGTTATGATCCCCAGTTACGGCAGACGTTAGGCAACATCAAAGAGACTAGTTCTCGAACAAGAAAACTTCACAATACTCATGGTCGAGGAAACGAGTTCCGATAGCTATAATGAGAAATGTACTTATGACAATTTGAATCTCTTAAAGTACTCTCATAGGTCGATCCAGTGTAGTTCCAAACTGGCACCTGTGCAAATGATTTATGACCATCATGTCCTTGCAGCACAAGAAACGGTGCTATGAATCATACTACACACTAATCTCTGGTGGTCATCAATCGCCCATCAGTTAGATGACCTCGATTAGGGATAACTTTCGACTTAAATATTCAATGTTCACTTAACATGTGTTTCTTTATCCAAGACATGGTCTTGATACCTTGTTTTGAATATTTCCATAAATCGAATGGACTCATTATTTAATTCTAAACCACAATTAAATAGCAATGGAGTGAATGATAATTTTGCACAAAAATTAATTACTCCATTAATGAATGGTTTCAATACAGTGTCTTACATTAAATCAACCAGTTTAATTAAAACACATGTATAGGGAATTTCAAAGCCAATCTCCAATGTGCTTGATTCCCATTGCCTCAACGTGCTTGTTGTGTTTCACTTGAGGCAAAGGTTTAGTCAAAGGATCGGCTACATTGTCATCCGTGCCGATCTTTCAAATCCTGATTTCACCTTCGGATTTCCATTCCCTTATCATGTGAAATCGTCTTTGGACATGTTTGACCTTCTGGTGTTCTCTTGGCTCCCTGGCCTGAGCGATAGCTCCATTGTTGTCACAGTAGAGATCTATCGGTCCCTTGATGGAGGGTACAACACCAAGTTCACTGACGAACTTCCGAATCCAAACAGCCTCCTTAGCAGCTTCTGAAGCAGCCAAGTATTCAGCTTCAGTTGTAGAGTCTGCAGTTGTGCTCTGCTTGGCACTCTTCCAGCTAAATGCTCCTCCATTTAGGCAAAATATGTACCCTAACTGTGACTTGAAGTTGTCTCTGTCAGTCTGGAAGCTAGCGTCGGTGTAACCTTCAACAACCAGATCTTTATGGCCACCATAAACCAGGAATTTATCCTTGTTCCTTTTCAAGTACTTCAGGATATTCTTGGCCGCAGTCCAATGCGCCTCTCCTGGGTTTGATTGGTATCAGCTCGTAGCACTCAAGGCATACGAGACATCCGGCCTGGTACATATCATGTCAT